TTATTTGCCCATTTGGTCAGAGCAGCTTCAGCAGCCATTGCTGCTCTCTCCAGGGCTGGGATGTCAGAGTGCAGGACTTCAGGTGTCCTGCCTTCTGCCAGCGCCCTGGAGAACCCCTCAGGGCTGCTTTGCTCTTAGTCTCTGCAGCAAGCAAGTGAAGTTAGACTGCTCTGGGATGATGGACGCCCAGTATACTTTGGCTTTTCTACTTTGTTTCATCTGGAGCCCACTGATGTGTTCATTAAGATGTAGTGTTATAGCTGGCACTGTGGCACATGCCCATAATCCCAGGAACATGGGAGGCTGGGGGAGGAGGATGAGTGGCTTGGTGAGATCCTGTCTTGAAATGAAAGTTAATAGAAAAAGTGCTGGGGTGTAGCTCTGTGGCAGGGTGCTTGCCCAGCATGCATAAGCTCTTGTGTTGGATTCCCTGTGCTGGAAGGAAAAAAAATAATTTAACTGTTTCACAAAGTAGTTATTTCTTCTTTTTATGCCTTCTAATGGGAAGTGCCTTGAAATAAAGGAAACTTTGAGAATATTCTGGTGTTCTATTCCCATATCATGAAGTCGTGGGAAGAATAACTCTGTTCTGGAACTTTCTCAGTCATTGGGGTTATTGCCAATTAATTGAGTACTTGTGTGTTTGCCACTTGAATTAAGTTTTCAAGTTCTGGAAAAGGCAGGTGTTGACCATGGCCTTGCCTGAGACATGGCTGAAGACCGGTGGCCCTATGCATGCAGAAACTGCAAACCAGAGTCTACCCCCAGGGTGGGGTCGAGATTGGGGTAGCACACTTTATTTCCTTCTTTCTATGCACTTTTGGTTTGGAGAATGGAAGAACTAGGAATCCAGGAAGACTCTTAACATGTTTCATGATACAGATGCTGACGCCTTCAGGATAATGGAGCAGGACTCCCTTCCAGGTTGTTGCTTTCCAGTCTCAGTATGAACAAAAGACCAAATTAAAAGCCTCCGGGAGCAGAGAGGTCTGTCTGCACCTCTGTTGGTGGAAGGTGTCGAGTGGTTTTGTGGGACACCGTGGCATGGGTGAGTCTGTCCCTAGCCTTCACTCGTCACTGCTCTGTTGATGATTTATTCTGATGCCACCACATGGATTCTTGCAATGGGATATGTTTTGGTGTCAGAAATAGGTATTGCTGTGTCAGATGGACAGTCAGTCATTCTCTCTGCAGCAGCCATGTTAAATCCTGCAAAACGCCCTCGTCCGCCAGAGCACTATGTTGTGTGCACATTGGGTTCTGTCATTTCTTGTTCCAGGGAGGCATTTGAGCCCTACCAAGCCCGGTGGAAGTCAGTATGTCAGAACTGGAAGAGTAGAAAGAAACTGGATTTCTGTTAATACACTTTGGTTTTAATCTTGCCCCACTCCAGTAGTACTTATCTTTGTACAGAAAATCTCATAGAGCGCTAGCACGGGTGGGACCTAGGTTCGATCCTCAGCACCACATAAAAATAAAGGCATTGTGTTGTGTCCATCTATACCTAAAAAAAAAGAAAGAAAGAAAATTAAAAAAAAAAAGAAAAAGAAAATCTCCAAGCATATCCAACATAAGAGCCCACCACTCTGCTGGGAGCTGCAGCTGTTGCAGGGCTGCTTCCTGTGCTCTCAGCCATCATGGTAAGGGCTCAGGCTGTGGAGAGCAGTATGAGGAAGACGCCATGGGGTCAGCAGTGGCACCTGGGATGTGACGTCATGCACTTAGTGCGTGTTGGGTGTTTCAGCATAGGAAAGGAAGACCTTCCTCCCCATCACTGTTCCTGTTGACACGACAGGACCTGGTGTGTGATCCTGATGCTAGCTCGGGTTTGCCTCGTGCTTGCAGAAGGCAATGCAGTGATTCATGACGGTAGGTGTCACTGGAGTGCTGGGATGTGTGTGCCAGCATGGCAGTCCAGGAGGCTCCTGGACAAGCTGTGACCTGCTTGTCTGGGATGCTCTGCCTGTGTCAGGGTACCATCATTGCTTGCAACTTTTTACTCATGTAAAAGTAAAATATGGCATTTGCATGGCCCTTGGTATAGCTCATTGTGTTGGACTTCTGGGGCCTGTGCTCCATTGGGTAGACTGTCCTGACACAGAATGGCTCTAGGCAGTAAGGTCTGGGTCACAGACCCATGGACGTGAGGCACTTGATCCAACTGGCTCACGGGTAGATGTGGTTCATGAGTGATGACTCCACCTGTGTGGGGAAGAGGTGCCCCATCTCAGGGTGCCTGTGGATACTCGGCAGGAACATGGTGATCCAGTTCATCTGTAGCTTCTCCCTGACTCCTAGTTGGAAGACCAGGTTTAAGGTTCCAGTGTGACCTCAATACAAAGAAAAACTATCTGGAGGAACCACAGGCCTGTTTGCACCCAGAAGGTACTGAGATGTGACTGCTGGAGATGAGTGGGCATTGTGCACTGTGTCTTTGAAGGAGTGTGTTTTAGATGCAGGTCCAGTGCAAGCCTGCCCAGCTGCTGTGTGTGCTGGGTGGGAGCCTCCTGGCTGGCATATGGATCTTGGGAGGATGACCACTAGAGTACAGTTGCTTCCTATGCTGGCATATGTGGCCTCCAGCCAGCTCTGTCTTCTCCCTTCCTGCACACACACTGACAGCTTTGCTCACACACGATTTTCTCCCTCCTATGGGTCAGGAGTCTGACAGTTTCCCTGCTGGCTTTTGGAAGTGAAATAAGCTGACCCATCAAGAGTTGTGACCTGGAGTGGCGGCCATAACCTGCAGGACTGTCAGCTGCTCAGGCCCAGGGTCCCTGTTTGACTACAGACTTAGGACACCATGGTCTCTGCCCTCTGCACACTCAAGTTAGAGATCTTGCCCACCAGTATTTTTAAGATTTAAACTAAAGTCACAGCACCTTGAAAAGCATGAGTGCTCAGAGCTTCAGAGTCTCCACGTACAGTCCCGGCTGCACAGAGCTGTTGGCGTCTCAGAGAGCCTTCCTCTGACTCCCTGAAGAGTCAGGTGGGCCCTTGTCCCATTTTCTTCTCTGCTGAACACAGTATGCAGTCCAGAAGGTGGATGCTCCCTCTACAGTCATCCATGCTAATGTGTCCAGCATCAAGATCTCCTTCATTACATTGCCTGTCAGTAACAGGAAACAGTGTCACGTTTTAGTCCACTGATTTGGATGTCTCATCTTTAGGGCCATGCTCGAAAGTTGGGCTGGAGGGGTGGAGTTAAGTGGGTACAGGGAGGAGACCCAGGCGGCATGGGTTTGCCTTTGCCATCTGGATCCACACCTGCCTCCCTCCCGTGTAGTGGATGCTGAGGAGCAGGATGGCAGCGCCAGCGCAGAGGTGGGTATTAGTGAGAGGAGATGCACAGCTGTCTCTCTGCAGCAGCACCTGGAGTGCACAACAGGTAAGGTCGGCTGGCCACCTGAGAGCAGGAAGCCATGCTTCGTGACACAAGACCCAGGTGTTCCCCATTCTCATCTTCTCTGTAAGTTATTTCCCACGTGGAAACGCCATTTGTTATTTGGGTGTGAGAAACTCATAGAATTAGCAGGAAGCTAGAGTGTGTCTGCCCTGGCCACCACCAACACCTGAGGTGTGGCCCTCCACCTGCACCATGCCTCTGCCTTAATGGGACAGGGCCCTAGGGCCTGGATGAGGCAACAGCCTTGTTCTCCCTGTCACCACGCTGCCATGACCTGTACACATGCAGCCAGGGTGGTCTCTGAACCTCTGGGGACTTCCTGACTTCTTTCTGGCCTCTTTCCCCTGCCTCAGCCCTAGCCGTGTGGGCAGCCACCCCCTGTCCTGGCCTTGGTCCTGAGCTGTGTGCCCACCACCGTGGCTCACTCACTGCGCAGGTCTCTCCTCACCCAACCTATTTGAAGTAACATCCCTTTTTTCCTTTTGTCCGTTCACCCCAGAGCATCAGCTCCAAGAAGAAATGATAAATGTCCAGTACATTGTGATTCCGGGACTTAAAATTATCATCAAAGAACTTCATGCAATGGATGAAAGTCAGTAGGAAGAGAACAGAGTGTTGATACCAGAGTGTAGGAAAAATCCTCAAACCCCGTGCAGTGGACTAGGGATACTGAGGGAATCCTCTGCCAACATTTCTATCCTGCTGAGCACTGATATAGAGGAGTAGCCTTGCTTTTAGGTCCTGGGTTTTTGTTGTTGTTGTTGTTTTGTTTTTTTCTTTAATTCTGGAGATTGAACTGTGGGCCTCACACATGCTAAACATGTAAACTACTGAGCTACACCCCCAGCCCAAGATCCAATATTGTTTAGACCTCTACTGCCAGTGTGTCTGGAGCTGGGCAGTGCACACCAGGAGGCAGACGCTGGGGGCCCTGCAGGGGCTGGGCTGTTGAAAGTGCAGGTATCTCAAGGGTGCAGGGAAATCCCACTCTTTCCCTGTGAGTGAGCCTTTTGCAGGTTTCAGCATGGAGCTGGTGTGAAGAGAGACCCCTGGATGTCCACCACCTTTTTCGGCTGGGTGTGCAGTGTGCTGAATTGTCAGTGTAGCGCCGGCACCTCAGCAGCAGGCTTGTAAGCCTTGACCCATGCCTAGCCTCTGGCACCAGCCCAAAGCCTGACCCACACTGGTGCTCGATACTAGCTGTGCCATGGGCTCAGAGGTGAGTGACCACCTTCCTCCTTCAGCACTCTGTGGACACCTGAATCACCTAGCTCTTACCAGCCTAGCTTGGGGGAGTTTCACAGCTGGGGCCTGCCCCAATAAATTTTAAAAACTGGTTACCCAGCGCAGCTTTGCTGTCTTCCTACTTGGCTAAGGATTTTTCCCCAAGCTTGACTGAATCAGTACACAGCCCTGTGGGAACTTACTTCATCCCCAGTTTGTAGACAGGAACAGGGGCCCCCACTGCTCCAGAGCCTGCCCAAGGTCGCTGCTGGGCTGGCACATCCGGGGCCAGGATCCCCCCCAGGATTGGTCTCCTCCACAGCCCGGAAGTCCCAGTGCCAATCCTGGGGGCTGCATTGCGGCCCAGCCCTTCCTGTGGGACCTTAGGGAGGTCCCAGCCAACCTCCGTGGTCTTCGTTGGTGGGACCGGGACCCAAGCCCCAGGGCTACTGACAAACACCTCCTGGGAGGGCCAGACGGAAGTGCAGCGCGGCTGGGACTGACACGTGGACTTGGGCGGCGCTGCCTGGGAGGGAGGTGGAGGGCAGGGCACTGGGACACTGCTGTGCCCATGTTGTCCTAGCGCCCAGCCTGATGCAGCCACCCCCGGACGAGACCCGCAGAGATGCAGCTGAAAACGCCCAGTGGTCCAGGTGGGGCAGGGGCAGCTGCGGGGGAGGGGGTTGCCCAACACTTGGGGAGGGAGCTGAGATACTGCCACAGGACGTCCACTCAGGAGTGGAGAGTGCTGGAGTAGGGAGACTGTCCACCAGCCCTCTCCTGCCCCATTTCATTCCCCCAGCTCTATCCCCTAGGACAGAGGACACAAGCATCCACCCATCAGGGGCTGCCCCTTCCTTCCAGTCCCAGAACATGCCAAGTGGCCCCTGAACCCTCCCAGCTGGTTATCCTGGGGGTGTTCCAGACGGGCAGTGTCCTCAGGACTGGATGGGTTGGGACTGCCTCCTGTAGAGGACCCCAGCTGAGGCTAATCCCTAGAATGCTTGTGCTAACTGGGTGCCAGGCTGGGGCAAGCACCCACTGGCCTCTACTGCAGAAGGAGCACTGTTCATCCTGTTTCCACTGTCCCTGGGCATATAGCACCCACAGAAACCAGGAGGGAGATGGTGGCAGCTGGCCTTGAGCCAGCTGGCAAGAAAGTCTAAGTGGGAACCCCAAGAGGAACCCCCCCTGCTCTGGTTCTGTGGGCTGAGGCCTCTTGACAAGGCACCCGACCTGGGGCTCAGCATCAGGCCTGGTGTGTTCAAGAGCTGACCTGCCACCCAGCACCTCCAGTGTCCTTGGAACTTCTGGGAGGCAAGGCTGGGGGTCCAGGAGAGGACACAGCGCCACAGGGTTTGGCCAGAGGAGATGAGGAGGCAGATGAGCTCAGTCCTGTGCAGAGCCCACCCAGTTCCCAGCTTCCAGCTCCCAGGCAGGCTTGTCCACTGTGCTGCCATGAAGCCCGAGGACTAGTGCCACCACTGGACACAGTGAGGGTCAAAAGAAGCCCCCAGACTGGGGCTTTGTGAGAACATAGCTAGCCAGGATGTGGAGACCCCCCGCTGGTCAAAGCCAAGTCACAGACCTGCAAGCACCAACTAGAAGGGAAGGACTGTACTTGGGAGTGCCAGCATTAGGGCTGCGGCCTGCCCCTCCGTCATGGCCTTCCTCTCCACCCTGTGTACCCAGGCGTCTCTGCCCAGTGCACTTGGCTCCTGAGGTGTGACCAGAGCCTGCAGAGTGTGCTGTAAATGTCACTGCAGGGTGTGACTCAGTGGCCCTGCCTGGCATTTGCATTGACTGCTTCCCTCCGTGCCTACCATGTTACTTGCTCCTTAGGCCTTTCTTGACTAGATGGTCGCAGAGAATTTGGAGTGGGGGGACTTCTGAGTCAGGGCCATCCACTACCCATGCGTGGGTTTTAATTATGGCAGTAGATGCTCCCTGGGTGCACGTGTCCCCTCCAAGAACCCTCTGCCTGGCTGGGGAGTCAGGCCTCTTCAGCTGATCATGGGGCCAGGAGGGGTGGTGCTGGGGTGTTTGCGGGCCCTTGGCCCCTGGTGTCCACACGTCAAGGGCCACTCTCCCACCCATGTGCTCAGCCACATATGCCTCTGTATAGGCCGTCTGCGGAAGCAGGGCTTTAGAGACTCACAGGAAGCACCTGCCACTCTGGGAGTCTCCACGGAGGCACAGGCCCCAAGTGGTCCAGGTAGGTGGACCTTTTCAGGCAAGTTCTGCCCCAAGCTCCTGTTCCTAACCAACCCCCAGGCAGGATGGCCGATTCTGGGCCCAGGGTCCTGAATGGCCCTCAAGTCACTGCTGGCCTTGGGGTTACTACCTCTGGTCAGATCCTTGTGTCCCCAGCACTCTGGGAGTCCCTTCATCAGCCTGGCCCACACTTCCAGCTCAGGAATGAACAGGCGGGTTCCGGAGAGGAAGCAGACCCCACAGTGCCCGCTGGCCTGCCTATGGGCCCTCCCTCTGGTGCCTCCAGCTGGATATACACTGGAAGCTGATGGGTTTTGTTGGACCTCTTGCGGCCCAGCACTGAGTTCTCGGTATGGTGCTGGCCTTCTGGAGGGGGTAGGTCCCAGCTGGTCCCCGCTGTTTCTAAGTGCTCTTCCCCAGAGAGCATCAGGGCCAGACTGCTGCAGTTGCACCCAGGGAGGGGCAAGTTTGTGCTGGGTAGGCCCTTCCAATACAGGTGGTGCCTTGGTTGCTGTGACCTCATAGAGGATACAGCTCCTTTTTAAAGCCACCTTTGGACTCTGGCTTGTGGTGGTAAATCATGAGTGCTGCTCCCACACCCCTGTGGCTGCCTCCTGCATCCACTCAGTTAGAAATAAACCCCACTTGAATGTGTGCACATAGCTCACCTGGGATGGCTCTGAAGGCCGGGGCGGTGCTGCAGGACAGGATAGGGCAGACTGGCCAGAAGCAGCTCGGACTGTGTCCCCCTGTGTTCTAGTACCCAGTAGTAATGTTTACTCAGGACAATGTCCCCAGAAGGGATGGAGGCCAGGGGACTGGGGCGGACCACTAGGAGCCCTGTCAGGGCAAGGCTTTGTCCTCGAGGAGTCTTAAGAGCCCCAGCTGGGCACCTCAGCCCCTCCCAGGGGTCCCATGGTACAAATCCAGACTGGAAGGGGAAGCTCAGAAACCCAATTCCTGGTGAGTGACAACCACTCGTCCACACAGCCCAGAGTGGGAGGGACAGAGCCTTGCTTGGACTAATGGGTTTGCAATTTTCCTAGCAGACCAAGCTCAGACCGACGGAACTCATCTGGGTCCTTGCTGGCCAGAGACCCTCTTCCCACCTAACCAACCCACCTAGCACCTGCCTTGTCCTCTGATTCTATAAAGGGTACTATCATTTGATGATACAAACCCCTGGAAGGGGCAGTGAGCTCTGGGTCCACTGCCTTCATGGGACAGCTAGGCTTGGCCCCTAAGTGGACACCCACTGAGAAGACGCAGGGACCCTCCATGCTTGCCATCCTCTCCCAAGGTCCAGGGTCCGTGTCAAAGGATTCTGATCTTCTCAAACCAGTTGGAGGGGCCATATTTCTGCCTGAGGAACTCAGAGGCCCTGATCCCAGCAGGCGCCATGTCGGGTATCATCAGACCTGGGGCCCCAGGGGCTGCTTGTCACCTTGGGGGGAGCGTGGTGAAGCCTCCTGCTCTTCTAGGAAGGGGTGGCCTCAGCCTGCACTGTCTTTCCCATAGCGGCCCTGTAGATGGCCCCTGGGGAGGCTGGAAAGGTGGGGATGCTGCCCACAGGTCCTCTGCAATCTCCTCCAGCAGATGCTCGACATCTCATCCAAGGGCTGCTGCCGGTCCCCCAGGGCTCAGACACCTGCCTCTCGGGAGGATGGAGCATGACTCTCCAGCTCCCCACCTCATTCGCCATCTGAACCATCTGGTCATCTGGTCATCTCTACTCTGTTGACAGCTGTTCTCAGAGGCCTGTGCTGCCCTTTCCCAATGGATAGCCTGGGGCACTGACTTTGAGTCCTAGCATTTCCTTGGTGACTGTGCTGTCCCCATGGGCTTCCATCCAGCATCCTGGCCTTCATCCTTCCCCTCCCTCTGCTGGCCCTGAGGGGCTCTGGTCTCCATCCAGGCTTCCGGCACTTATGCTGGTACTCCAGCTGGGTCCCCACTGCCCCCCATTCTGCAGCAGCTGCTCTGAGTCCTGTCCAACCTCCTACATGCCCCACTCTTAGAGGAAGTGCTTCCTTCTGCTTCCTCGGTGGCCCCAAGGACTTCCCGTTCGCCTCTCCAAGTGCCCCTGCTTATCACAGGTCCCACTGCACGAACCCTACTCAAATTCCTTTATGAGAAAGCCGAGTGTGTGTGTCAGGATCATTCTTAAGATGGTGCACAGAGTTCTCAGCTCCCTGCCACCACTGTCCCCTTCCAATACCTCCAGTCCCTCCTCGAAGGAGAAGCGTCACCACCAGCCCACTCCACGCTCCTCTGGCTTCCTCAGCTTCTCCTTAGTGTCCCCACCTAGGGAAGTGCCATTCAGTCCTCCTGCCTTTCAGTCCTCACGTCTCCGAGGCTGCTCTTGGCTGTGGCTGCTCCTTCCGACATCGTGACTGTCTCTAGGAGGACTGCGGTGCTCTTGGACTGTTGCTGCTGGTGTTTGGGGTGAATGTCTCACTGCTGGCTGAGGGTGTGGGGCCTCAGGAAGAGATGATGGGCTCTTCTTGTCGAGGCCTGTTGCTACTGAACCAGGACCAGTTTCCCCCAGGGCAGGAAACCCGTCACTGAACCGGTGGTAGAATTTACTCACCAGGCCAAGAGAGGGACAGCAAGTCTCAAGCTCAACTACCCGAGGGGAGGGTTTGGGGCTGTCTGTGGGCTGAGGCTTGGGGAAAGGTGATGGCAGGGTTGGTATGCAAGGTGATCCAGCCCATCAGCTGCTGACCCTCCTGGCCTGCTGTCTGTCAGAGGGGTTCTCTCCACCTCTAAGACTGCTGATGTCAACCGAAGCAAGGGACAGTGGGCAAAGCAGGCTGAGTGGGGTTTATTTGGGTCCCTGGTTTCACTGTCAGGGTTCCTGCTGTCAGCAGGACTCACCAGGGTGGATGTTAACCTGTCCAACATTGCTTGCCCCCCCCCACACTCGTCCCCACCGGTCATCTGAGCCCCACCTCACCACTCCCTCATACCCCTCAGGCTCACCCCAAGCAGGTCACAAAGCTAGGCCTGCAGCCCCTGAGATGTGACCCTGGGCATCCAAGAATGTCCTGCAGCTTTCCTCTGGGCGGGCTGCCTGGACACACAACTCGCCTCTCTTCTGCCCTGGAGACTCCACCAGTGTCCCTCAGGCTCTTCGTGCTCACCCCACTGTGGTGGTCATTGCCACCAACCCAGCCTGACCCTTCCTGAGCCCCTGCCTGGCATCTGACTCAAGGAGGCCCAGCCCTAGCTACTACATCTGTTTCACAGCCCAGTGAAAAGTGGGGGCCCCTCGCAGTCCCCACATCCAGGCCTCGCCAGGCCGGCAGACACTCCTGACTCTCAGTCTGTGCACTCACTCTCTTCCCAGCAGAGCCCATTTGTCTGCTCACCCCACTGGATGTGTCAGAATGGTGGGGTCACCCTGCAAAATGTCAGGTGGAGACAGATACTCAGGAGGCCCCTCCCCGACTCTGCACTGCCCATTGGACCTTCCTCCTCTTGAACTCTGCTGCCTCTGGTGGGTCTGGATCTAGACCCCCACCGCCATCCTGGACTCCCTCCCGGTCAGATCAACCCCAGCCGGGGTGTTTGTTTGTTTGGTTGGTTTTTTGGTTTCTACTGGTCACTTCAGCAACCAGGAGCTGGGTCTGCCTTCACTCTCAGGTGTGTGGGGCTGGCCCCGAGTGGCTTTTGGCGGTGTGGAGGGAGGAAAGGAGGACAGAAGGAAGGGAAGCCTGGACAGGAGGTGGGGCAGAGACACCGCCTCCTGGTCCCTGAGCAACGGAACCTCCAGGGAGGATGTTTCTGGAGTCTCGCCCGCAGACCTCCCAAGCACTGGGCAAGGGTAGCTGCTTATTGGCTCCTGAACAGTTTTTACTTCATCACCTGCAGAGCTGGGACCTAGAGAGCGAGGACAGGGACTGCAGGTCGTGCTTGCTGCAGGCTGTAGGCAGGGCTGGTGTTCTAGAGGCCTGTGGCTCTGAGGGCCCCTGGCCTAAGGTGGCAGCAGGGGGTGGGGAGGATGGGGGGGGCTGCCGCTGAGGGCTCAGGTGCTAGTCATAGGAGGAAAGTCTTCCCAGAAGGGGAGCAGCTGTCCCTGTCTTCTTCCCCAGCTCCTCCTCCTTGAAGCCCAGTGCCCCAGGACCGTGAGGGCTGCCCTCCTACCCACCTGGTCTGTCTGCAGGCTGGCTGCAGCCCTGTAGTGTAGCCTCCTGCCTAGGCCCCTCCTTCCCTTCCTGCTGCCCCTCGCCCAGGCCAACCCAGGACGCCCCAGGTCACTGGAGGGGGCATGGGACTCGGCCTGGCTTGGAAGACAGTCCAATCTGCCAAGAGGCCTTCCTTTACCACCATGAGGAAATAAGAGACTTTATTTTGAACAACTCCAAACTTATAAAGAAGATGCCAAATTCAATCCAGAGACCTCAAGACTTTGTGGTCCAGTAGACCTGCCAGGGCCTCATATCCTGCCACGTACCCGTTCGTTATCAGAACCTGGTGCACAGAGGGTACAGCTGGTCACCTCCTGCTACATACATGGTTGAATGATTGTCACTTCTTGCAGTCTTCAGTTGCTTCATGGCACACAGTGGCCAAGCCTGCTGGGAGCTGGGAGCCGGGAACTGGGTGGGCTCTGCACAGGACTGAGCTCATCTGCCTCCTCACCCCCTCTGGTTCCTGCTCCGGCCAAACCCTGTGGCACTGTGTCCTCTCCTGGGCCCCCAGCCTTGCTTGCTCCAATGTCCTCTGCTGGGCAGGCCTGGAAGCTTCCTTGGGAAACCACTGGGGGCTCCTTGCTGCTGTCTGGGATCTTTTTGTCAGAGCGGCCCGCAGCAGGTGGTTAGTTGTCAGGTCTGCCTGGCCTGGCTGCCTTCCTGGGACCCTGTGGTCCCAAGGAGACCTGGGTACTGTGTGCATCCCTTCCTCTGTGTGGGTCCAGCTGCAGTCCTGGTGGTCGGCGGCACTGGCCCAGTATTTATCTGGCCTGCTCCTACTGCAGGGCATTGGGCATTCCCACTCTGCCATCATGCCCGGAACTGGCCTCTGCAGGGAGTGAGGGAAGGTGTGTGAGGACAGGTCCGTACTTGCCCAATGCCTCCAGAGATGTACCAGCCCCAATGCTTCCCCTGCTTGTGGCCATGTCTCCCAAAGTCATGGGGTTTCTGAGCTCAAAGCTGCCTGTGGGACCTCTCCAGAGCCAGACTCTCTGCTCCTGCCCTGCAGGCCTGAATGCCAGGTGTGGACAGGGACACTGCTCTTGGGCACCTGCCTACTCTACTGCGCCCGCGTCACCATGCCTGTCTGCACCGTTGCCATGAGCCAGGACTTTGGCTGGAATAAGAAGGAGGCCGGCATTGTGCTTAGCAGTTTCTTCTGGGGCTACTGCCTGACGCAGGTCGTGGGTGGCCACCTCGGGGACCGGTAACTGTCTTCCCTACTCCTTGTCACTCAGGCTGAAGGGGGCTGCTCCATGTGGGCTTCTCCAGGGGAGGTGGGCTAGCAGATCTTCTGTGTACATGGGGAGGAGGGGCTCCTGGGCTAGGGCCTGGCAAAAAAAACTGGGGGAGAGGCCCTGCCCAGAGGCCCTGTCCAGCATTCCAAGGAGCAGCTCTGGGGCTGGGCGTGGCCATAGGGCTGCTCTCAGCTCTGGGCGCCTCCTGCTGGCGGGTTCATGGCAGCGTGCTCATGGCAGTGCCCACTCCAGAGGACTCCTCTGCACAGAGGTGGTGTGCTCAGCCTGCCTGCATGGCTACCCCGTCCTCCCCTCTTTGTGTCCACTCCAGCATCGGAGGTGAGAAGGTCATCCTGCTGTCTGCTTCCACCTGGGGCTCCATCACCATGGCCACCCCGCTGCTTGCCCACCTTGGCAGTGCCCACCTGGTCTCCATGGTCTTCTCCCGTGTCCTCATAGGCCTGCTCCAAGGTAGGGGTGCCTCTGGACACTTCCCTCCTGCTGCTGGCCTTCACCTCTGTCACCAGGCGGGTGGACAGGAGTGCCCATGTGTGCCTGCCTTCTGTCCTCTGCTGAAAGTCCTGTCGGCGGCCTCACATTGTCTGTGTGTATTGTCCATGGCGGAGGGGAAAGGCTAGCAGCTCCTGACCCTGAGGCTCCCTGCCTCCAGCCTCGAGCTCTGGAGAGGCCCCGCCCTGGGCCAGTGGCTGACAGAGGAATGGGACCTGGCTCCTGAGCAATTGCATTTGGTGCTATGCTGAAAAGTTGGGAGGGACCCAGGTGACGACTCCTGGGTCCTTCCTCATGGGCCATGATGACGCAGAGTGCAGACTCTGCGCCTCCAGGCCAGGCCTAGGACCCTCTAGAAGCAGGGGTGTGGGTTGTGAGGTGGCTTCCAAACTTCCAGGCCACTGAGGAGCCTGTAGTCTAAAGGAATCCTAGGGGGGAATTCCGCTGTGGAGCTGTGGGGAGACTGCGTCTGGGAAAGGCCTTGTGTGCCAGGAGGAACGGGCGAGGCTGGCGTGCTGAGGGCGGGTGTGTGCAGCTGGTCTGAGGTGCAGGGTGTGTGTGTCAGCCTGCGCTGCTGTCCTGGGACGATGCCTTGGAAGCAGAGGCTTGTCCTGCAGATGGCCTCTCCCACTCTGAGTCCTTTCCTCAGCCTGTTGGCTCCTTGGTTGGGACAAGTCAGGGGGGACAATGCACATCCTCTGGCCTGGCTCACTGGCCCCCACCAGAGGCCCTGCTGACCACATCCTCTGCTTATTCCAGGTGTGTACTTCCCTGCCCTGACCAGCCTGCTGTCACAGAGAGTTCGAGAGAGCGAGAGAGCCTTCACCTACAGCACTGTGGGGGCCGGCTCCCAGTTTGGGTAGGGCCTAGCTCCAACAGGGGCTCGGCGATGGGTGGCGGGCTGGGGGGCCTTGAAGGCTGTGCTGCCTGGAGGTGGCTCTGTGGCACTAGCTGCAGCTCCCCAGGCCTGTGTGGGCATCTCTGTGGCTCACAGTGATGTGGGCTGTGGCTCTGGCCGTGGGCTGGGCCTGTGGCTGTGGGCTGGGCAGGTCCCTGTCCTGGGGGCCGTGGACCAGGGATGTCCTGCCCTTTGTTACCAGTCCCCAGGTGAGTCTGTGGGCGTGGGCGCAGACCCTGAGACCCGGGCCCTCAGGTGTTCCTGCCTCGCCCACCCTCAGGCAGCTCCGGGCTCCTCGATGAGGGTGGACAGAGGCTTGTGGGTGTGGGGCTCAGGCCCTCGGCTGCTGAATTCGGGGACAGGAATCAGAGAGCAGGGGTCCTGTGGAGGGACAGAGAACCCATTGAGGTCCAAGTGTCAGATAAGCCCCTGGCTGGCCTGCACTTGGAAGTCACCTGGAGGGGCTTTGGTGGCTTCTGGGGCAGTGGAGGGTGGAGCAGAGGGCTCTGTGTGAAACCGCGGGGGCAGGGGAATGCTGTGGTCTCCAGGTGAGGTGCTGCCCCCTCTGCAGGCACAGATGGGGAGGTGGTGGGCTCAGGGAGGAGGCAGCTGGGCCTCAGGCCAGAAACCCCACATGCAGCAGGGACCGTCCCTGATGCTGCCTTGGTGGGGAGTACCTCAGGGCACGAGGGGTGGGCAAGGGAGACCTGGACTTGCCTGGGACCACAGGACCCTCAGGAGGAGGAGGCGGGGGTCTGTCATTAGACAGACCACATCATGTGCTCTGCTGGGCGATGAAGAAAGAGCAGGGCACAGGCTTCGCTCCGGCTGCCCCGAGCCCGCTCTCCTCCCACAGCCCTTTTTAGTGTAGGCCAATTGGAAGGAAGGCCTAGAGCAAGAAATTAAAACAGCTCAGGTCCCACAGCAGTGGTCTCTGTGCCCTGTCCCTATGACTGGTTCCCAACGTCCCCTGCCCGGTGGCATAGTCTCTTCCAACACTCTTAGCAGAACACTCTGGGACTGGGCTCCAAGCACCTCTTCTCCAGGTGACAAAACCCACTCTTCTAGAGCTCAGGTGGCATCAGGAATGTTCTCTGGTGTCTGTTTGTGGAGCCCAGCCGAGGTCACGGTCATGCTCCTCCCTGTCCCCCCAGGACGCTGGTGACTGGGGTCGTGGGATCCCTGCTCCTGGACTGGTGCGGCTGGCAGAGCGTCTTCTACTTCTCTGGTGGCCTCACCTTGCTTTGGGTGTGTTACGTGTACAGGTACCTGCTGAACGAGAAAGGTACCGTGGCCACCTGGGCGGGTGCCAGGGTCTCCTCTGCTCACAGCTGCTGGGGGGGGGGGCATGCAGACTCCTGGAGCCTGAGAAAGAATGAGTTCTCACCCCCCTAGGGCCACCAGTTCAGTCCCCAAGCTCCATTTAGGGTAGGGCAGAGGAGGAGCCCTGCAGGCAAAGGCAGGGGGCTGGAGCAGGGTGGCTTCAGCTGGCCCCAGGGCTCTGGCTGCACACTGAGCTGCTGAGGAAGAGCCTCTGGGGGAGGGTGACAGGTCTGTTGGCCTCTGGGACCACACAGGGATGGATGTGGGGTTGCCCAGTCCTGGGGGCCACTGCTGTGCCACCACTTCTTCCCTCAGACCTCATCCTGGCCCTGGGGGTCCTGGCACAAGGCCTGCCCGTGGCCAGGCCCTCCAAAGTGCCCTGGAGACAGCTCTTCAGGAGGCCTTCTGTCTGGTGAGCTGGGGCTGGTGTGGCCAGCAGAGTGGGGCAACGACCCTCGTGGTGTGGGCCAGGCTGTGCCTGGAAGGGTGCCCGGGGGCAGGGGTGTGGGTCTCACAGGCCCTGCCTGTGTGGGAAGGGGCTGGGCAGGCTGGAGCCCTGAGCCTGTGTCCCACCCAGGGCGGCCATCTGCTCCCAGCTCTCCTCAGCCTGCTCCTTCTTCATCCTCCTCTCCTGGCTGCCCACCTTCTTCAAAGAGACCTTCCCCCATTCCAAGGTGGGTCACCCTGCCAGTGCTCACACAGCTGCCGGTCCTGCCCCTGCCCAGCGGGTCGGCCCCTTGGCATCCTGTGGCTTGAGGCAGAGGCTGACTTTGGCCACAGGAGGGGCAGGTGCTGGCTCCAAGATCCTGAGGGCTGGTCCCTGTGGCATTGGCAGCTTTCCAAGCCCATGACCTTGATCTGCTGCTTAGCAGACCCACCCTCAGGGCAAGGCCATCTGTTGGTCTGTTGATGCCATTCTGGAGGGGAACCTGAGCAGGGCGGGCCGGGGACCTGACCCCCTATATCCGCTGGCTTCTCCACTGAGGCTGTTGACCACCCCCCTATTCTGGTGACCATGATGCCCTGGGCTGCCCATTCCAAGGGTAGGGGCTGGGTAATGAGCAACCTGGGGACCTGGCTGCGTGGCGAGCCACTGTGGGCCTGGCTCTCCTGGGGTGCCATGGGACTGGTGGGCATGCTGGTAGAAGCTGCCCTCCTTCAGCCCCTCTGCTCTGGGGCCCAGGCTGTGGGTGAGCAGAGCTCTCCTGGGCAGCAGCGGCCTGGGGCAGCCATCCTGCCTGCCCCTCCTCCTTTCAACGTCTGGCTGCCACTTGGCCACCGCTCAGGCCAAGCTCCTCCCTGCAGGGCTGGGTCTTCAACGTGGTGCCCTGGTTGGTGGCGATTCCTGCCAGTCTGTTCAGTGGGTTTCTCTCTGACCACCTCATCAGTCAGGGTGAGTCCTGGGGAGGGACAGGCCTTCAGGAGACACACCCTCAGGGGCCTCAGCCAGGGTGAGAGGCTCCCCTCTGGGGGTGCAGCTGCAGTGCTAGGGAGAGGCCAGGCCCGCTGAGGACCACCTGTGATAGAGAGGGACCCTGACCTCCAGAGCCAGCCAGGGAATGGGTGCAGCTGGGGGCTGGAGGAGCCTGGGGCAGCTGGTTTCCCCAGAATCCCCATGAAGGCTGCAGCTGGGGAGCAGCGGGAGGCCCGAGAGGGCCTTTGTGCACAGCACCTGTGGGCTCTGCCGGGGGCCTGACAGTCCTGACCCTGGGGGGGAGGTGCCGGCTGGGTCAGAGGCCACAAGTTTTCCTCTTGCACCTTCCAGAGCTGGGGGTGGGGGCTCTGGGGCCAGCTGGAGTCCACCACACACTGGCCACACATGAAGCCCAGCAGCACGCTCGTAGGTGCCCACGCACATGCATGCTCACTCTCAGAACGTCAGTGTTTTCCCTCAGTACAAGGTGGTGCACACTGTGTGGGGGACGGGGAGAGCTTCGGGGACACCTTCTCAGCTGCCCACGTGGCCCTCCTGGGCCTTGTGGGATCCTCTGGTGTGCACGTACTGTGCTGGCAATGACCAGCCTGCAGCCCCAAGGGTCACCCTGGCTGCCATCCCCCTCTCCACTGTCCTCTGGGTTGCCCAAGGCTAATGGGGCCGCCTGCCTGTCTCCTTGCTCAGGTTACGGGACCATCACGGTGCGCAAGTTGATGCAGGTAGGAAGACCTTTCTAATGTTCTCCCTGGACATCACTGTTTAGTTCTCCTGGGACCTGAGGGTTATGACCCCCAATTGCCCGAATTCTGGGACCATGAATTCGGTCGTGGGCTGGGCCAGCTGCAACTGCTGCAGGGAAGGCACTTAGGGCCTTTGGTGCCCACAAGAGTGTGGACAGAGGTGACAGGACCCAGAATCAGCTGGTTTAGATGGAGGGCACTCTGGGGTCAGTGTTGGGGACTGACGTGAGACTCTTCTCTGATCTCTGAATGGGGCTCTCTGTGCCTGTGGGGTCTGGGCACCTAGGTGAGGCTTGTGGCCTCTAGTCCACCAGTAGGCCAGCTGACCCGTGGAGGGCCCCTTCCAGATGTTCTCTGGGTGGAGAGCCCAACCCCGGAGGGTTTTTTGGGTCAGACAGGCCAGGTTCAGGGCACTTGGGTGGCTGTGTGACCAGTTTTTGACCCTAAAGCCTGGGTCCTTTGTCCCTCCTGGGACTGTGGGACCAACAGCACCAAGACAGAGCCGGGAGGAGTGGTCAAGACTTTATTGTTGGCCAGGTAGAGTGGGAATAAGCCTTCAGGTCAATGTCGCACCTGGATTGAAGAGCTGAGGGGCAGGGGCTCAGGAGGGCGGGTCCCAGGTTTCCATCCTCTGAAGGCGAGGAGGTCTGGGTCCTCTGGCAGCTCTGAGATCTGGCCAATCTCAGCCCCCTGTCGAGGGCCTCCTGGCCTTCAGGCTTCCTGCCTCAAAGGCCAGCAGGATTAGGGCAGGGTGGGAATTTAGCCGGGCGCCTGGGCAATGCAGGAGCAGGGCTGGTGGCACAGGATGGCTGTGGGTGGGCTGTGCTGCCCCGATGCCCTCACCCACAGCACCTGCAGGTGATGGGCCTCGGCCTGTCCAGCGTTTTTGCACTGTGTCTGGGTCACACCTCGAGCTTCCTGAAGGCTGTGGTCTTTGCGTCTGCCTCCATTGGCCTCCAGACCTTCAACCACAGGTAAGGGAATGGCCATCTCTCCGAGCTGGCGACCTATGTCCCCAAATCTGACTTTTCCAATAACTTAAAAAATGGCAAAGAAAGCACGCCAACTCACAGAAGTACCTTTTCACAATCCAGGGACGGCTTGGTGACCTTAGGGGTCTGTGGAAAGAGAGAGAGCCACGGGAATTCTTTATTATATAGGGGACCCACAAGGGGAGGTTCCATGGAATAGTCTATCCCAAAGAGGGCAAAGGGGTAGGATTCCAAGAAACAGATGGGTGTAATTCAACCCCACCGGGTGACACCCACCCCTGGAGCCACACCTTCCTTATCCGAGCTGGGGTAAAGCCCAATGTATTGTGGGGTGCAATAACTGTTCAGCACCCCTTTACTCAGGACTTAAAGGTGTGCACATAGCTTCTCTCCAGAGTGGCTCCCGACATAAGGGACTGCTGCCCATGCACCAGTGGCTAGTGCTGTTGGGGGCAGCCCAAGCCTTGTGTCCTGGCTCATGAGTGGTCTCGTGGACTGGCAGATCTGGGTATCCAGACAGTGGGGACCAAGGCCCTGAGGGAGGGAGAGGGCCAGCAGCAGCAGCCTGGGTGCCCTGGACATACTCTCCGTCTGCTGGGGTGGCATCTAAACATGGCTGCCTCTGACCTCACCCACTATCAGTGTCCTTCAGATGAGTGGACAGCAGATGGGGTGCCTTTGTGCAGTCTGTCTCAGGTGGCTCCAGGTTGAGTGTGAGGCCAGTGCCCCATGGGGAGGCCGCTCACCCGCCTGCTCTCCTGCTTCCCACAGTGGCATCTCCGTTAACATCCAGGACCTGGCCCCATCCTGTGCTGGATTTCTGTTTGGTGAGGACTTTGCTGAGTCCAGCTTCGCTCCACCTGTCTCCTGGCCAGAGAGCCACTCCCAGGCAGGGGGGCAGCCATGTGGCTCTTCTCTGATGTCTTTTCTCTGGCCTGTTCCCAGGTGTGGCCAACACTGCAGGAGCCTTGGCAGGTGAGGGGTGAGCATCTACACCCAGAGGTCCTCCTGCCCTCTGGACTAGAGCCCACTAGGAAGCAAGCCCAGCAGCCCGCTGGCTTCCTGCTCCCACATCAGGGGAGGGCAGGAGCCTCACACTGGCCCGAGCAAAGCACAGGGCTGCTTTGGAAGTGTCCATTTAGCTCTGCTGATGGTGGGCAGCTCACAGGCCTCTGCCCTGCCCACCTGCCCCCAGGTATGCGTCCAGCCTGGCAGGTTAGGGCCCTTGATACCTCCTGGTCCCTCTGCCAAGTGCCTGGCTCATTCTCCAGGCAGCGCTTCCTGCCACTTGTCCTTTGCTCTGTGTCCCCTTGGAGGGACGGGGCAGGGGGCCCATCGGGGTGATTGTTGGTGGTCTGTGGGGTTCCTACCCCCCAAGACCTTGGATTCTTAGCCTGGAAGGCTGTGCCCCCAGATCCCCCGGGAGCCGGGGTGGCTGTGTGCCAGGCCCTGCCCACTCTCCTTGCCCACTCTGCCTGGCGCTCCGCCTGACTGTGCCTCTCTCGGGTCTAGGTGTGGTGGGCGTGTGCCTGGGCGGCTATCTGATCGAGGCCACAGGCTCCTGGGCGTGTGTGTTCAACCTGGTAGCAGTCATCAGCAACTTGGGGCTGGGCACCTTCCTGGTGTTTGGACAGGCCCAGAGGGTGGACTTGAGCCCTGCCCATGAGGACCTCTAGCTCCCCGACTCCACAGTCCCACCTGGATGCTGGCAGTTTTCGGGGACAAGTGGACCTCGTCCTCAGTGGTAGGAGCCGAGGAGGAAGACCACAGCAGGGCACCCGGGAGGAAGCAGAGAAGCTGGGGAGGGGCTCAGGCACCCCACGGCCCTGGCCAGAACCGGGCTCACCTCTCTGAGCCTGTTTCCCTGCCTGCCTGTGGGCATGACCCTGCCCTCCTCACAGGGTTAGAGTGATCACTGCCTGTGGCTGGCGCCCTGATGCTGGGCCACGGGCGCCCCACCTCCGTCCGCCTAGCCTCATTCTCTGACAGCCGCTCTCAGGTGGAGCTGTGGACTGTGGCATATTCAGGAGGACCTGCTGCGTGCCAGAGCACCCTCCTGCCCCCTCCCCTCCAGTCAGGACAATCAGCAGTGTCCACAGAGCACCCCATGTTCCAGGAGCCCCTCTCCATGTTTCTGCTTCTCCTGGCAGCCCGCTGTCACCCCAGAGGGCTGGATGGGCAGTGTGCTAGAGAGGCCTGGCCCACCTCTGAGAGCCCCAGGGCCCCAGTTCCCTGATCCTGTGGATTTCGGTAGGACCGATGTCTCCTGTGTAGGCACCTGTGTGCCCCTCAGGCCCTGCGGGGATACCCCCTTGTCTTTCTACCTCCCTGTCAGCAGGGGGAGCTGGCGTTCTCATGAATCAGGAGTGGATTCTGTAAGAAAAGAAGCCACAGAAATGTGCAAAACCACACCAAGCCTTATTTAAAGGACTGTTAAACGATCTAAAAAGAGGGTTTCTGTTTGATTTAACACCTCTCTTTTGACTAATGAGCACGTGATAAGATGTTGTACGACCCATTCACGAGGAGACCAGTGAGGAGTCTGACCCAGCTCCGGGCAGAGTCCCCAGTCGGAGGCTGCACGGTCAGGAGCACTGGAATCCATGTGAGCACCAGAGCCTGGCCCTGCTTCAGCTGGTTCTCCTCTGCAGAACTGGGGACCTGCCGGGTGGTGTACACAGCTTTCTAGAGCCAGGTGGCCTGGAATCGGAGGTGTGCTAGGAAAGGACACAGAGACACCTTCCCCGTGGTCTCCCAGTCCCATCAAGAGAATCTCGAGGGAGATCCTTGATGTGAAACAGGTCGGCCTTCTTGAAGTGGGCCCATGACTTGCAAGGTGGCATGGGGGTGGGCTCTGCTGGAGGTTCCTGTGAACCTCAGGCGGGGCTTCTGGAAGTCTCCGTGGCATGGGTCCTGAGGCTGGTAGCCAAGCCAAGAAACCCCTCACCTGCGGACTTCAGAGCAGAGCCTCCACTGACCAGTCCCTCGCTCCCCCTCTCTCTGGGTCACATGGCCACTCCTCAGCCACCCGCCTCAACCTCAGCCACAGTTCTGTGGTGTCAAGCACATTCCCGTTGCTGTGTGACCATCACGCCACCCACCCCCAGAACCTTGTCATCTCACAAAACAAGCTCGGTCCCTGCTAAACATTACTCCCAGGCTGCGGGCCCTGGCCCCGGTCCACTCCTGCCCATTCCACTCCTGTCTGGCTGGTGGCGACTCCTGCCAGTCTGTCCAGTGGGTCTCTCTGACCACCTCATCAGGGTGAGTCCAGGGGAGGGGCAGGCTCGCTTCGTGCTGCAGAATCTGGAGGTGCCACTTTGTCCCTCCTCTCCCCGCCACTGATGGACCCCGGGCTGCTCCTGCCTCTGGGCTGGGTGGGCGCTGGGCAGTGAGTGTGGTGACAAGTCGTGCCCCACTTTGTGTCCACAGCTGACTGTGGAATCGGTGGGAGGGAGGTACCCTTCTCATGGGGCTCTGAGTCCCCCGGGTCTCAGAGCCTTGAGCTGCTGAAGCATAGGTAGGCTGCCCTGTGTGGGTGGGCCCTGCTGGTGGCCCTCAGGGGCCGAGACCCCAGAGATAATTTCTCACGGAGCTTTGGGGCCCGACCTCTGGGGAGGCCGGGAGAAGACACAGGCGAGTGTCCGACTGCCCCATTCTGTTTTCCTGGACCCTCACCAGGCCTGCGTCCTGCTTCCCAAGGTGACGTGGGACCCTGGGCAGATGTCTGCTGGGAGGAAGGGCACAGGTGGCCAAGAGAGCAGCTCTCCCACTCCGCAGGGAGATCCACATGTCTGCTATCTGGCAGGCGGCCCCAGCAGGTTTGGGGAGGCCCCTCCACCCGACTGTGAGCCCTGGTGAAACCAGGTCTGCTGTCAGTGGGGGGCCCGACAAAGCCAGTGGGCGTCCTGGTGGGATAGGTCATGACCCTGCCCCTGCGGGCCAGTCCCAGGCCCTGAAAGCAGCTGCTGGAGCTTGGAGGTCCCATGGTCATCCCTAGGAGGGCCAGACAGAGGGGTCTGGGACTGGGTGGGCAGGGTGGCCTCTCAGGATGAGAAGGAGCGTGCATGGAGAGATCTGAGCGGAGTGTCCAGGCCCTGAGGTAGCCATTTGAGGAGGGGGTTAGGCAAAAAGGGCCATGGGGTACGAGGTGGTGGGACCTCCCAGGCAGTGTTCTGAGTGGGACCAGCACAGGGGGCTGGGCCTGGAGGCCCTCCCAGCCCTGCACTACACAGGCAGCCTCGATCCTGCTGTCAGTGAGGGACTGTGGAGGCCAGTCCTCCATCCCTGGGCTGACACTGGCCGCCTAGAGCTCCAGTTTCTAGGAGTGGGTCTTAGAGTCCAAGGCAGCTTCCTGGGCCGCCAGGGTGACTGGCCAGTCCAGGGGCTCTGGTTGGGGCCTGATGGAACCTGCCAGGCCAGAAGCTCCCAGGGCACCCGCTCTTAGACTCGACTCGGAAAGTGGGGATTGTGTGAGCAGGTGTGGCCCCGGCCTCGGCACAGCTATTGTTGTTCCCCCTCTGGCTGACAGAGGGTGCTGTTGGACAGGATGTGCTGTCCTCTGGGCTCCAGTGTGGCTGACCCCACCTGGCCTCCGTGGACAGAGTGCCCAGTGGGTGCATAGAAGGGAGTGGGCAGAGGGAACTGTGGGCGATGACAGGGGAGAGTGACGTCCACTTCACCGCGGGGCAGAGGAGAAGGATACTGGAAGGGGGCTGATGGGAGCCTGGGCCCTCTCAGGGGGTTAGTGATGTGTGGGGGGGTATGGGTCCCCCAGACCTGGCGGCATGATGTCATTGCAGCCCAAGCCCCAATCTATCTTCCTCCCCGCCAAGCTGGGCATGTGCCCTGGCCTAGGGTGTTCACTCCCTGGGCATCCCCATCAAAGCCACAGGGCAGGGTGATGGTGGGACCTAGGGGGCTCAGTGGCTGGTGGAGGGCTGTCCCCACCTGGCACAGTGGAGCCACTGAGACTGCAGTGTTGAGGTGTGTGGCCACCCACCCATGCCCTGAGGAGACAGGCCTTCCTCTAAGACAGAGCTCTGATCCCCCCAGGGCACGGGGCCAGGAGACTGTCCTGGAATGGAAACTCAGAGGCAGGTGCCCCAGGGGTGCGGTCAGGCTGAGCACCGCCCTCTGCTCACGGTCTGTGGCCCGGCCTCTGCACACTGCAGGAGCACCATGGCAGTGTTCCAGGCAGGACAGTCCCATGGGCCTGTGGTCCTGCTGTGGCCCGGGGCCCATCCTGGACATCCCAGTGTCTTCTCGGGCCCCTGGGACTCTCCCCGCCTCCCACCTTTCACTTGCATACCGTTCTAGAACCAAGGCTGGGCCTGGCTCCAGGCCATCGCCCATACTGTCCCCAGGTGCTAAGCAGCCCTGCCCTGAATCTCCAGCTCCATAGAGGGTTGTCCCCTCCTAATCACTATAAGTGACACTTTTCTGACTTTCTTTAAAACAGGATCTTTAATAGCCACTTAATATTCCTAATTAGTATGTTAATGTCCCTTCCACCTCTTGGGCTGCCCCCCCCCCAGTTAGGGGGTCATTGTCTTTTATCTGTAGGACAGCAGTGCCCTGAGGTTCCTATTGCTCCCTTGGGGACTCCAGAACATTTGTCCCTGGGTGGGGCCACTCTGACCTGGGACAATGTCCTGAGTGCGGCCTCCCAGTCCCCAGCCACACTCTGTCCACTGTGTGCCATGGACAGTGACCAGCTGGTGGTCCCTCCCCCTCCCGGTTCCTGCCAGGCAGGGGAGGGAGGAGCCAGGGCCTGTGAGTTGGATGTGCGCTTTTGATGGGTATTTACTTTATTATGTTTAATTGAAAGCCTGAAGCTGAGGCATGAATATTCAGCCTTGGAGGCTGGCGCAGAGCCAGTTCTCTGTGATGCAGGACGCGCCCAGCACGGGGCCTGTCCAAGGGGGAGCTGCGGTGGGGAAGCTATTAATTGAAATAGCTTCATTAATTAGTAATTAGCAGCAGGGTAATGACTATGTCGCCGTCGTATTTCAGCGGACGCCCTTCATGTGTTGCACGGTCTTTAATTAAAGGACGAGGATTTTAATCAAAGGCAAGCTTGGCCCTTTGGCCTTTGGAATACAAAAGATGCTCCTGCCATTCAGAGAAGCTAGTGTGAGGCAGGGGGCCACGAGGGTCACAGACCAGTACAGGAACCCCCAGCTTAAAGGAGCCACAGAGGGAGGCTGAGAATCCCGTCAACACCCACCCAGCCCCCAGGGGTCCCGGAGTCCTGAGGGGGTTTGGGAGCTAGGCTTTGGAGGAGGATGGAAACCCGTGGGCCAGCCCTTCCCCGGCCTCATCCTATACCCCCGTGAGCTGGGCCATCCGCAGGCCCAGGCTGAGTCCAGCTGCTTTCTCTTCCTGTCCCCTCCAGCAGCCTTGAAGCCAACGGCCACGCTGCCGCACCTTGGGGAAAGTGCCACAGCAGTTAGGAAGGGCTTCGTGCCACAGCCTCCTAGTTCCCACCACGTAGCAACCCCACCAGCCACACAGCCCTGAGCTCCACCTCTCCACGGACTCCCCGTGCCTGGCCTCCTACTGGACAGACAAGCAAACAGCTCTCCATGTCTGTCTCCTTTCTGTGCTGTGGAGCACATTCACAGCAATACACACGCACACGTGTGCCCAGGCCGCACTCCTGCCTGCTCAGTCACCCACACCACTGTGTGCATGTGCACCCCACACGTTGCACGCACACACATGCCCACTGCAGACCGGGAGCTGTGTGTGGTCTGTTATCCATGCACACGCACACACATACCTGTCCTCAGGACTCAGTGGATGCAGGGTGAGTCTGCGGAGTTTCTGCGCGCAGCTCTGCACACCTGCCCATCCCAGCATCCCCAGGTGGTGTGGTGGGCGGGGCTCCCTGTTGGATGGGGTTCATATCCCAAGCTTCTTTTGTCCTGGTGGAGGGTGTCAGCTGAAGGATCAGGAGCCTCTTGGGTCATAGGAGCCCTCATCCCTGCTTCTCCCCATGTCTCTACCTGGGGGACTAGTGCAGCTTCAGGATGAAGTGGGGACACTTGTTCCATGCTGTCCCAGCCCTGATGGGCTACCTTGTTGTGTCCATCTCAGGCAAGGTGGGCAGAGGGGAGGGGAGGGCCATCTGCATAGGATGCTTCGGCTATTTTAAAACCTGGCCCCACATTCACCCTCTGCCCCAAGAGGTGGATTCTGTCTCTCCCATTGAGCCTGGTGGCTCTGAGCTGGACTGGGATACCTGCAGATTCAGCCTGTGCCTGGACACTCACTCCTGGGACCCAGTGCTGTGCTGTGAGGAAGCCCTGTCTGCCCATGCAGGACACCTGGAGAAGCTGGCCAGCCTCTGCTGCTCCAGTCCGGCCAGCTGACTCCAAGACAGGGTGGTCCTGTGAGCCTCCTCAGATTTCTGACCCACAGAAACCCTCAGAGACGAGGAAAAAG